TGGGTTGGGACCCATCATCTCGCTACACATGGGAACTCGATTTAATCACGGGCAGCTTTGATGCAGATTCAAACCCGGGACCTCAGTGGTGCCAGCTTAGTGTATCTGACCCCTGGGTCACCTGGCCACCACACCTCTGACTTTGTAGATGTACAAAGTGGAAAATAATCCTGCCAGACCCTCGTGAGCGAGCGCATGTTTGGGGAGCTTGAAAGAGAACCGTGGTGGAAATCTACCAGTACGTTGATAAGGCAGCACAGCTTGTCCCCACCATAATGGACAACCTTGTTGTATGCGTAGCCAAAGTGTTGTTGGCAGGGTCGTTGGAGTGAGTGAGCCGGTGGAGCACTGGTCGATGTTTATTAGCGTAGCTGAGCCTGCTGTGTCTCGACAACTGTGTGGCTTTTTGTGAAGTAGTTTCAGATGTACTCGGTCAGTAACACGTGCAATCGGAGCATCCGTATACGACTTACGAAAGCATACTTTTTTTGCGGTCAACGTTGACGTATAATATGACATAGGTGGAACATCCATCAATTGTTTTAATTACGATAAGTACAGAAACGATTTTTAAAGAAGCTCGCATTGTATCCAGCTAAAGCGTATCGCTTACAAGACATTCGTTCGGCTTCATGAGTAATTCTGCCGAGTGTGTGGTGGCGGTACGTGCAAACTTAATTGGTTCATGGCCAATAGGCAGCTGTCTTCATTAACCGTCTGGACAGGCTTGACCTTTATCCATGCAACAACAATAAAAAAATCAAAGAGAAAAAAAACTCCACGTGATTGCCAGCCATTATCAGCAACACCCAGACCCGAGCCGCTGTGGATCGATGAGAAACTTTCTAAGTGACGGGCCGGTGTTTACGTATAAAAGGAGGCCAAGGCCGATTGCTAGGAATTTTGTGTTGTTTTAATTAAGGAAGGCGAGTAGTTTTAGTTTTTATTTCTTCACGTTTCCCCACAATGCCCTTAGTTCAAAAAAGTCACGCGGTGTTTTTGTGGAGGGGGGAGTCGGGAGCTCTGTTATCGACCCTCGGGTGTCCTCGCGGCCCGGCTCCCACGTTGGGTGTCTCGTCACTCGTCGCCTTGTGGTTTTTTTGTCAGCTTAGGGGCCTCTCACGCTTGACCTTAATGGAGAAAAGGCGCGTTAATAGCAAATAAAGACGTCCTTCCAAACTCTCCCAAGTACAGCACTTTTTGATCATTTAGTTATTTACAGTGAAGATCAATGGTGCGACCATTTGTAACCTGACATTTAAAAGTATCAGCGCTGAATAGCGGTGCTTTATTTTGATTTTGCTTAACAACTGCGATCGAGTTGACTGTAAGAAATATCCACTTTTTTAATGAATGGTTTTGTAACAAATGTAATTAATTGCGAAAAACATCAGAATCAATTGCTTAATATTTTCATTAACAGTTTTATTATTTGAGTCTTTCGGTCAAGCCACGTAGATAGAAAAATAATAATTTTCATTAACACCGATTTATTTTGAGTGTTAGAATAGGCTAGCATCCACCACGCCTGCCATTAAGCCAAATTCCATATCACTGACAGTCCGATTTCATTCTCTGCTTGTTAATTTTCTCATTGAATTACCAAAGTGTGCAACAAAAGTTGATGTTGAAATATCCGCAATGTCGTCCGCATGAGTAGATCACTGCGTGTGTGCGCCCGTAGACCAGACCTCAATTTTTGCAAATTCATCTCGGCCAATTTTTACGAAATAATTAACTGTCCCTGCACCCTCCGTAACTATGGTTATCCAGGACTCGTTTGCGCGGCGCTTAATGAATTTCAATTCACCGTCTACTTAAGTGAATGGAAGTTGATTGATGAAATACTTGAAAATAATTACCGCCGGCGCAGAGAACAACGCCGGCTCATTGTTTCCCTCTGCTGAATAGAAAGGTGCTCTCGACGCTCACCCACCCTGCTGTCTTTGCCCCCCAGCAGTATCGGACGCCGTCTCGTTTTGCTTTTAGTTTTTTTGACTGTACGCGAGCCGCCTCGATGGCCGATGCCCTGCTCCCCTCATGTCGCATTGAATGTAGCGCCCTCAGGTGCTCCAGATGATTGAGATTATTGTGCTGCTATTAATGTCCAAATGATGGGCCACTTTTGTTGAGCTGTCATTTGTAGCCAGGTCGCTTCTGAGAAACAAGTTAATACCTCAGTGGGCTTTGCCTGGTAGGATGGGGATGGTTTAGTTTTATTTGCATGTCTTTGGGTGATTTAATGACCTTTATTGAGCTTTACACTACTGGCATGTTTTGTATTGTTTGTTGTTGTAATGTTCTTACCCACGTCTACTGGACACCTATGAAAAAGAGCTTTATACCTCATCGGATTCCTCCAGTATAAATAAATATTCTGATTCTGAATGCAATCTGCCCACGGATCAACGTGAGCATTGCACGTCGCCATCGCAGCCAACTGACCCAAGCCTCGGAGCTTGAGGTTTGTCATGCTAGTTGAAATCCAGGCGGCCCAGATTATCTCAAATTTGCAAATAGTTAAATTAATCTTCAGTAACGAGCCTGAAAGAAAGTAACAACAAAAAACAATGGCAAAAACGAACGTAAAATATGAATGTTCGTTGCTGCAACAATTTTTGTTTCCCTCTCGCCATTTGACTTTTATTTTTCCCTCCGCAAATGACCCCGGGAGTAATTTCGGCATCGGTCGTTGCCATTGAGGTAATTGGTTATGGCAGAGAGGGAGGGAGGGTGGTAAGGCCTCGCGGGGGCACACGCTCTCCCGAGAGCCCCCCGTGGAGGGGTGGTGGAGGGGGCCACGGGCCAGGGAGTTCTGCCGCGAGTGTTTACACTGGGCGAGCAGGTGAGAGCACGGAGCACACACAGGCGAGAGCACGGAGCACACACAGGTGAGAGCACGGAGCACACACACGTGAGAGCACGGAGCGCACACACGTGCGGTGCGGCTTTGTGCTTCGTGTACCGTGGCTGGAATTGCTTTTCACGGCTTGTGGGAGAGTGGTGCGGGGAGGGGGCGGCAGGCAGGGGTGGGATGGCGGTAAGAAGTAGATGGAATTATGGGATGAACTGCTGAGCTGTCAGAACTCCGTCTCCTTTTGGAGTTCGATTTAAATTCAGCACACCTGGTCCTGTCCTGCATTTCTAAGTCGGACGACTTGAATTTAAAATCGGCACCATTTGAAAGTATTCACACTCGGCTGGAGTTTCGTAACGAGAAATGTTGAAAATTTTCACTTGCCAGAACTAAGGAATGGTATTTTTAAATAGTAACATTGATGGAATCATCATTTCGATCAGCATAAATAATCATTTTGCAACAGAATCCGATGAACTGACATGGTTTTCTTGCTTTCAAGAGAGATGAGGGCATTGAGCTGGTATTAAATGGTTAAAAACACTTTCAAATTGGAAACTGGTATAGCGGTTATTGCGCCTGGAACCTAGCGCCTTGAGTTTGATTCCCAACCACAGCTAACATCAATGGCGAATGATATCTGAACCAGTCTTGCCACTCCACCCCCTCCCCACCCTTCACCAACCAACACTCACCAGCATGGTAAAGCATGATCAAACACCCCCTCCGCCATGATCCATACGACATGGGGAGGTATTCATCCATCAAGTGCATTGACAGAGGTGCAAAAAGTAGCATGTAAAATTTTACTAAAAATTACGGAAACGTTTACAACTTTGATATTGCGTCGGTGTACTTTTTATTGACTTGGATTAAATTGTACCAAGCTGGCTAGAAGCTATCCAGCTATATGGTGCACTTAGGCATATAGTAAGTGCTGGTACAATATCATCTTGAGTGTGCGAGTTTAGTAAGGTCTCAGAAGCTAAGCAGAGTGAGCCTGGTTAGCATTTGGTAGGCAGACAGTCTGAGAATGCCAGTTGGCCAGGAGATGACAGTACAGGATTGGATTCTTGAATTAATTTGAGTGTAATCCCCTTTATAAGCGTGGGTTTTAGCCAGCTACCCCTTGATTTACCCCCAGATTTCCTCCCAGATGCTAAGTACAGCACTCGTAAATGGAATTGGCCAAACATACCAACGCAGAACGATTCTGTAAAAATCTCAATCAGACTTAAGTGAGGCTTTCCGAGGAAAATACTGGGCACTGTTATGATTGCGTCGCACGATTAGGAGAAATGGCAATGGTCTGCGGAGCCCTTCATTCAGCAGTAGGTTAATCGTAGCTGCAGATGTTGATGATGATGAAAATTATTATTCAGACTAGCCTTTTGCCCGTCCAAGGATGGGTGTATTGCAGTAAATCTGAAACGTGCAAGCGAAAAGCAGACCGCGATGTGATATATTCATTGCATCCATTCATGTGCAATTTTTAAGGGCGCGGTGACACAGACTTATTTCATTTTAAGGTTATAATCCCTTGTTCATGTTCATCACGACGTCCGTTTTACTTGTATGTCTCAATAGCGTTACCGAGATCGCGTGACGTGAGGGTTCTGCCTTTGTAGTGAGGGATGTAAGTTGACGCTGAGGAGGGGGGAGGAGGCGCCTCGCCCCCCCCCCATGTGAAGTGACTTCACCCGCTAATTATTTTTAATGGCGGGGGGCGGGGGTGTCCATTTGGAGGACGTCACTTGTTCATGATTATTAATGAGGGGGGCTGTTCGATGTGGAGTGATGTCACCTGCTCATGATTATGAATGAGGGGTGGGGTGTCCATTTGGAGGACGTTACCTGCTCATGAATATAAATTAGGGGGGGGGGGGGGGGGGGGGGGATAGTCGATGTGGAGTGACGTCACGAGCGTTAAGGACATTCCCGGGTGATTATAGTCGGTATGTCACTACCCAAGTTTCAACGAATGAGTGTGTGTTTGGTGGTGTCAACTCAGGCAAACACATTATTAATGCGGCACAGGGCACGCATCTCAGGAGGTCACGCCTAACGGTCTACGTCTGTGCTGTTGTGCAAAGACTAATATCACTTTGACTTTTTTCTGTCTCCCGTCTGGTCTGCTCCACAGGTGGAGGTGTACAGGAGAGACTCCCGAAGGCTGCCGGGTCTGGGAGATCCGGACATCGATTGGGAAGAAACTGTTTACTTAAACCTCATCCTCCAGCGGGTGCGTAAATTAGATCCGGTGAAACTTTCACAACCAGGCACGTTTAAGTTGGCCCGCCGCATACTTTGAAAAACATTGCACGGACACGCAAAAAAAACGGAAGGTAAACAAACGTCACTGCTGTTCTCTGGCAGAGGCGATAAACTGTACCGTGCCGAGTACGGTGAATGTGCCGTAATGGAAGGCACAACTCTAAAAATAAAATATCTTTTATATATAAATACTCATTAATTGTCAAAAAACATCTTAATATGGAGAGGACTGGAGAGTTTGTGCAGTTGTTGGTAGTGAGGGCTCACCGCTTGGCTGCTTTCCAGTTTGTGGTTCCTCAACGGTGAGGAACCACAGACAATGCTATACAGTGAGGGAAAAAAGTATTTGATCCCTTAGTGATTTTGTACGTTTGCCCACTGACAAAGAAATGATCAGTCTATAATTTTAATGGTAGGTTTATTTGAACACTGAGAGACAGAATAACAACAAAAAAATCCATAAAAACGCATGTCAATAATGTTATAAATTGATTTGCATTTTAATGATGGAAATAAGTATTTGACCCCCTCTCAATCAGATTTCTGGCTCCCAGGTGTATTTTATACAGGTAACGAGCTGAGATTAGGAGCACACTCTTAAAGGGAGTGCTCCTAATCTCAGCTTGTTACCTGTATAAAAGACACCTGTCCACAGAAGCAATCAATCAATCAGATTCCAAACTCTCCACCATGGCCAAGAGCAAAGAGCTCTCCAAGGATGTCAGGGACAAGATTGTAGACCTACACAAGGCTGGAATGGGCTACAAGACCATTGCCAAGCAGCTTGGTGAGAGGGTGACAACAGTTGGTGCGATTATTAGCAAATGGAAGAAACACAAAATAACTGTCAATCTCCCTCGGCCTGGGGCTCCATGCAAGATCTCACCTCGTGGAGTTGCAATGATCATGCAAACGGTGAGGAATCAACCCATAACTACACGGGAGGATCTTGTCAATGATCTCAAGGCAGCTGGGACCATAGTCACCAAGAAAACAATTGGTAACACACTACGCCGTGAAGGACTGAAATCCTGCAGCGCCCGCAAGGTCCCCCTGCTCAAGAAAGCACATATACATGCCCGTCTGAAGTTTGCCAATGAACATCTGAATGATTCAGAGGTCATCTGTGGTCAGATGAGACCAAAATGGAGCTCTTTGGCATCAACTCAACTCGCCGTGTTTGGAGGAGGAGGAATGCTGCCTATGACCCCAAGAACACCATCCCCACCGTCAAACATGGAGGTGGAAACATGCTTTGGGGGTGTTTTTTTCTGCTAAGGGGACAGGACAACTTGGACGATGGATGGGGCCATCTTCCGTCAAATCTTGGGTGAGAACCTCCTTCCCTCAGCCAGGGCATTGAAAATGGGTCATGGATGGGTATTCCAGCATGACAATGACCCAAAACACACGGCCAAGGCAACAAAGGAGTGGCTCAAGAAGAAGCACATTAAGATCCTGGAGTGGCCTAGCCAGTCTCCAGACCTTAATCCCATAGAAAATCTGTGGAGGGAGCTGAAGGTTCGAGTTGCCAAACGTCAGCCTCGAAACTTTATTGTCTTGGAGAAGATCTGCAAAGAGGAGTGGGACAAAATCCCTCCTGAGATGTGTGCAAACCTGGTGGCCAACTACAAGAAACGTCTAACCTCTGTGATTGCCAACAAGGGGTTTGCCACCAAGCACTAAGTCATGTTTTGCAGAGGGGTCAAATACTTATTTCACTCATTAAAATGCAAATCAATTCATAACATTTTTGACATGCGTTTTTCTGGATTTTGTTGTTGTTCTGTCTCTCACTGTTCAAATAAACCTACCATTAAAATTATAGACTGATCATTTCTTTGTCAGTGGGCAAACGTACAAAATCAGCAGGGGATCAAATACTTTTTTAACCTCACTGTATCAAACTAAACATAAACATATTGTAGATACACACACATATATATTGTGTGTCCTGGGGTGTCCAACTTGAGGTTTAAGCTTCGTTACTAATAAAATAGAATTTATATTCGGTCAGGTGCTCAGAGTGCTCTGACAATGTCACCGCGTTGACTTTGTGCTCAAATGCACGGGCGTGATATCACTGGAGTGCCATAATGACACACCTCCTCTCCACTTCAACATCTATTTCCCTATTAATTAAACTTCAGACCCATATATAGGACAGCTCATGATGCCCAGATTAGGTACAAAGCTTCACCATAAAAACTATTCGTTTTTTAGGGAGGGGGGATTTATTTTTCTAATGAATGGTGGCGCCACTGCGCCGTTATCCGTGCGGTCTAACCCCGAACGCTTGTGCCTGCTCCTCGCTGCCGCAGTTCGAGTACCTGGTCACGTGCGCCGTCTGCACCCGACCGGACGGCGGAGACATTCACATCCACCACAAAAAGTCCCAGGTGAGAGAGTCATCGGGCGTCGTTGGACATCGCCGGAACGACGATTACGCTCGCATAAAACTCGGGAGCGCCCACACAAGCGCGGGGTGCTTTTCACTTGCGCCAAAGCGTGTAACAGTGCGTCGCTTCATCGGTTTGGATCGGTTGCGCCAGCCGCTCAACTCGAATGCGTGAAAGAGTCAATTATTTACGTCTTATACAAGTGATACGCTCGTGCTACATTTGGGGCGAATGGTGTGAATAACATTGTGCAAACGACACGGAAATGAATGAGTAAAAAATGTAGTGATAAAAATGTGTTTTTATCGCAACCCTGAAATCCTTACGATTAATCGGATCGCTATGGCAAGTGAATAATTTCATGCCTAATCTACACAGAGCAGCCTGTTAGTCATTAATGGCTCAATTTGTGATTCCTGTTTTCCTTTCTTGGCTGTGCCTATTAAAGTTTGATACATGTAGTTTAAACTTAAAAAGCGCAACCCAGCTGCATGCGAATTCGCAGATTAGGCGGCCTATTTGGCATGACAAGGAGTAACCGAGACCGACTGCCAGCCATAATTTCTGCAATTAAGATGCCATTTCATACAGACAGTTTAATAAATGGTAATTGTACGATGTCTTTACGGATTGAGTAAACGCACGATTGTCCCCAGGTGAGCAGTTAAGTCTTGATAAAGCTTTTATCGTGTTATTTTTGTATGTCTGTTTAATGAAGTCTGCCACTTGCTATTGAGTCTGGCACTCTCTATTGAACGATGCTGCGCTTGGCGCCTTGGCTTTTTTGCCGGGGATGGGAATGTTGTGCTGCTGCTCTCTCGAGTCAACGAGTGCAAATGGTTCAAGCAGTGCTATTGATCTGCGGATGCAGGTTAAGCTCCCCGAGTTCTAATCAAGTGCATAATCAACTGGATTCTCAGAGGTACTACATGGCATGGGGCAATTTCGCTGTGACCTTCTGACGTCCTGAGATGATGGGCTTGTTTGTCTGGCTTTTGTAGCCCTTGTCCTCTGCTGTAAATCTCGTTGCTTTCAGCAGCAGCAGTTTTATAAGTTGTGCAAACGATAGGTGAATGCTTCATGTCGGCCAGTGGAGTGAACAACACTGTACAAACAGGTTGCAAAAAAAAGATAAACCATTCAAACGAGGCGGCAGAAAGGAGATGGTGAACAAATGTGTTCTTAATTTGCATTTTAACCAATGTTTGTGGACTGGCTGGGTGCGTGAATCGAGTACTAATCAAGTGCACAATCGACTGGAATTTTAGTGATTCCACATGGCATTGGGATGTATTAGCCTGACCTCTGAAGTCATGTGATGGGCTATTGCCTGGCTTAAAGCCCTCGTTGTGTCTGCCCTAAGCCATGTGATTTCAGCAGCACACACCAAAGCAGCATTACTTGTAAGTATGAAATCGTTACATGCTATTGAGTAAGCGTACCAAATCATGCGTCGATTTATGAGTTATTACCAGTTCTCACTTCAACACGTAGGCTTTCGCGACCAGTAATATTCATAGTAAAGGTTTTTGGGTTCGTTTGCGTTATTATAAATGTGTCGCAACCCTCCACCACCCGACACGGCCAATCAGTAAAAAAATGTGTCACGTTAACAAAACGCCAAATAGTTACTTCTTCAGCTCGCCTGTGTGTTTGAAGAGTGAATCCACAACATTTAGAATTTGAGTACGACGTTTCGCTGGTAATTACATCCAGCGTCTTCGGGCGATTTGCCAGAATAGTGAAGCCATCCACCTGTTTCCGGTCTTAAATGGTGCATGATGACGTCATCATTGGTGAACCCCATCAGGTTTCGAGATCAGAGGCGGAGGTGGGAGGGTATTGTAAAATGATAGATTGCTGCTTGGAATTGTGACTCCCGAATCGTAATAGCTGGTGGGATCACCGGGTAGCTGAATCTTGAAAGGCCTACTAATCAGGCTTTTAGGTCTAGAATAGTTAAGTTAATGTATTATCACAAGTCCTGCTAGAAAGTATAGTATTCTTCTAAAAATAATAAGATTTAAAGAAAACAATGTCGTCTTGTGAACTACTGTACATTTTCATGAGATGAACTCGATTAATAACATACCCAAACGTAAAACTTAGATTTTGCAGTTTAATTGTTTTTTGTTAATCAAATAAACGACTAGGTAAAATTGCACACTCGATAATTGAAAGATGGCTGATTAAACACCCGTCTGCTTTTAACAACGCCTCCATTTGTTGTTGCAATCCCTGAGGGAAATCCCATTATCTTGAGACGCTTACCCAATTTCTATGACTTGAGAGGCGAGCGTTTCCTGTGATAAAATATTTTATGGAAATAAATTATACATCAGTGGCCCACAGCCAGACGCAAGGCTTCTCCGGCAATCACCGGTTCACAATGTTTCTCCATCTATTACACATTCTCATTCTTCACCTCCACAGAACAGTCAACGTTATTGGATTCATAGCACGTTGATAATCGACGTTTAACGTGTAAAGAAAAACAAACACACCCTATTTATTTTTTTCACCGTTTGACTACGTTTCAAATGTTTTTTTTGGTTTGTATATAACGCAACTCCCTTTTTAAGTGACAATGGCAAGCGTGTAAATTTGTTTCCCAGGGTTTAGAAGCAGAACGCTGGAAATGCCACTGATGTGTGTGTGGTGTGTGCACGCGCGCTCGCTCGCCTGTGATTGGGCACCTGCTTGAGGTTCAGATGGCGTTGCCATAGCAACCCGGCTGCGTGGGCGACAGGAGGGTCGCTTGGGAAGAGGGATCACAAGCGGAGTTTCCAATCTAATTCGACTCGTCATCATCCCACCTACAGCAGCTCACTAAATACAGGCGCAAAATTAGACCGGGCCCTTGCATCAGACACCGAGGGGAGTGCGCGTGTGCCTGTGGTGGAGTGGAGGGGGGAGAGGAAAGCGGTTGTGTAGAGTGGGGAGCGGTAGTGTCGCGGCTAGCGTGCTGCGCCACGAACCCGCGTTTGATTCCCGCTCACGGCCAACACCAGTGACGATTATTGAACGGGTCGTGGGCCTCCCCTAGGCCGACTCAACCTCAAATGAGTACGGGCCTTCTTAGGTGCTTGCTAACAGCACTTGCTATACGGGGGATCTTTGTGGGGGGGGGGAGAGGGTGACAATGTTGAGTGTCACTGAACAAAAAAATAATCCTTTGTTTCGCAGGTGGGCAGGGGAGGGAAGAGAAAAAACGCATCTGATGTTTCATTTGTTTTGTACGTGAGTTGTATTTCCTACAAGTTTAAGTTGTATTTTTTAATGTTTTTTTTTTATCACAATCCACCCCGCTGGATTGTGTTTGTGTCCGGATGTGCATTAACCGTCTAATGTGGGAGTGTGATTTATGGTCAAGCCACTAAACCATTGAATTATCCCTGGCAGGGCAATGCCGATACCTTGCACTAGCGACATGTGCGAGCTGGAGTTTGCAGTGCTCGACCTGCTGTAGAGGATCGGTAAACATTGCGCGCGTAATGGCGCGTCCGTCCCCGCATTAACGCTCGATTCTAAAGCTCGCGATGCATGCATACAATTATGGGCACGAAAATACATTATTTATCGCGCATCCAATTTATATGCAAAGCAGAAGCAGATGTGTTTGCAGCAGAACTGTACAAATAAAGCGAGCAGTTTATTAAACGATAAAAATGACATGCACAAAAAGACAACATGTTTTAATCGTATTCGCGAACCCATATCGTGACAGTTGACCGACGTGAATGAATCGCCACATTCCTAGTAAACGGAGACACTTGCTGCTTTCACTGTCTCTCTTACAGTGCCCTTAAGAGCCTCCGCCGGTCCGCCCATTGCCATAATAGACATCCGTTAATGGTAATGGACCCCAAATAACTCGCAGGGCAATGCTTCACGTATGACGAAAGAGCTTTAATGCTCGGCCCGCGGAGCCTGGACTCGCCGGCCGGGCGGATGCGGGCGCCTGACTGGCGGCAGATAGGGACTGCTTCCTGTAAACGAGCGCACCAAGTAGCGCGTCCTCCCCCCCCCCATTCCCTCCAGCCTGCCACGGCACCTTGAACCATGCGCGCCCTGTCGAGAGAGGAAGAGCAGATGGCAGCCCCGACCACAGAGTGCGTGGTCTCGCTCTGGCACGAGCCGTGTGCGCCGCTGCTGCGCACATTGCGCAGCAGCGGCGGTGAGCCCTCTGGTGTGAACTTAAATCATAAACTGTTATGAACTATAAACAATTTATTTTATTTCACCAGGTAATAGGCCCACTGATCTGAATTGCTCTTTTTCAAGAAGCGACCTGGCCACAGCAAAGTGGCTTACCACTTGGAAATGTATAGCAGCCAAACACTTTAAACACTTGTTTCTAAATGCGGAGGGAAAAACCGGAGGACCCGAAGAAAAATCCACGCGGCCAGGGGGAGAACATGCAAACTCCAAATATACAGGCGTTAGGGTCGGGATCGAGCCCACAACCTCCTACAAACCACGGAGATTACGGGTCTGATGAAATCTGGGGGAGACTGATGCTGCTAACGACGATGCCACTGTTGGTTCTGCAAATTAATTTATTTTTAATCGTGGTTGCAGCGTACAGGCCCAAACACCCAAAATTCCGAGCAGCTAGCAACAAATGGCACATTTGAATATGCAATAGATAAGCGTGAATACTTTCTAGAATTCCTTGATGACAAAAGGACACAGGCCCGCTGTCATAATGTAGCCCGGTGTTAAGATGCTGTTGCGGAGATGCTAATGTGCCGTTTGCAATAATTTTTTTCAAAGAATATGCGCATTATTAAAATAAATTATTAAAACCTACCCTGTAATAGTGTAACATTAATCTAATTAACTTATGCTCCAGCGATTGGCCATTGCGCTAAATTATTTAAATGGAAAGATAGTGGCTAAAGTATTTCCTTGCTACGATTTCATTGCATGTATTATTAATCTGGCATGGATGTGGCTATTTGTTGAAGTGATATTGCATCGCTTAACCGTTTTAACAAGACGCATCTCGATTGCCGACCTTACTCTGACTCGTCCTTTATTTTTACCATTTATTTGAAGGCTGATGCCTGGTGGCACTGAATTATTTTGTGTGCGCGCATAACAACATAAATCTATGCGTGTACTAAACTAATTACCGCATTTACTGTTATGCAAGCAGCTGCGCTGTACGTGTGTGTGTGTCTTTGTGTTTGTGTTCCAGCGAGTTTTCGCCTCGCCAAGCAAGCACAGGATGGACAGCAAGGGCGAGCAATCTGAGATGAGCTACCCCAACATATTCTTCATGATCGATAACTTTGATGAGGTGCGCCTCTTCACGAGGAGGTTGTCAGCTGACTCATTACGCTGCGCAAACTTCAAACGTGTGCTGCTTGCCCGCGCTTTGGCGGTGCGATTGTGAAAGGGACGGGTGTGGACAAAGCTGTAGCAGAGACCAAGGAAGGTGACCCCGGGTGGAAAGGGTGCAATGCATCTGTACTTGTGCCTCGCATCAGAAATGTTTCTCCCCTGAGGCCAATGCACCAATTCGCGTAACCGCCATTTCGCCAGCGACTTAAGTCCATTTCTCTCCCGTTAGCTTTTCAGCAGTGAAAATCAGCCCACGTGCTTATGCAATTTCACATTGCCAGTGATGAAAGTGTGAAGGTGTGTGTGTGAGAACAAGGCACCGCCGAGACTTTCTCCCCAAGATTAAAAGCACAGCCACTGCTGGTGAATGAAGGTGGCTTCTGCACTGCACATGTGCGTTTCTTCGAGCTGATTATACAAATGATGCCCAGTCGTCGTGGTTATGGTACAAAAGGATTTTCTGTCGTGCTCGTAGTTTGTAATACAATACAATTTGGATCGAGCGTCCATATGCAACTACATCTCAAAACACCGCATAAATGGTGGGACGTGCGCATCACAAGCACCGTTGAAAAGGGAGGCGTATGTTTAAGCTTTTAAGGTTAGGTGCGTTCGAAGGCACCTCGTGCAGGAGACGGTCATTGATGGCCTGGGGGAGGGAAATTCTGGATGATAGGTAGCGCGACCTCCTAGTTTACAACCGCAACATTTCTGGCGATGCTGGGGCCGTCTGTAGCCAACCGTGCTAATCGGAGATGCGGGGTGAAAGACAACAAACTAAACACAAAGAAGTTCTGAGGAAATTCGTTTTTTTTCATCTGGAGGATGTAAAAGTGCATAGCTCCCCTTAATATCGGAAGGTGCTAGTGACGAGCACGAGATCGGCGTTACGTTTCCTCCCGCGCGAAAAAAAAGTGAGGCGTGCTCCCGCCGAGGTCTTCTCCGTGGGCGTTGCGCCACTCGCGTCGATTGCGGCTCGCTAGCCGTCGGCTCCCCCACCGCCCGCGGTGCACCGCGTCGGGGCGCCCAATCCAGGCCGGGCCGCGGAGCGACAGTGAAAGCCACACTTGAGTGTTTTCCCCCCCCAACCCCCCCCCCACCCCCCTGTGGTCGGTCACGTGGATATTTCTCCGAGTCCTCCGGTTTTTCTCCCTCCACATTTTAGAATCCACGTGCGTTTAGAGCGTCTGGATTACTGCTGTACATTTCCACGTGATAAGCCAGTGCGTTGAGCCGTAATTTGTTGGCCAGGACGCTTCTGAAAACGAATCTATATAGGCTCAGTGGGGCCTTACCTGGTGAAAAAAAAAATTAGAGTGCGGCAGGGCTTGCGGGAAAGCAAGAAGAAAAAAGGGGGGGGACCGGCCATCGGAATTGCGTTGTGCTTCGCCGTGTAATATGACGCACGCACAACGGGCACCTGGAGGCCGGCCAGCGTATGCGAGATTTACAACCCTCTTTGGTAATTGCTGTACAAAAAAAAGAGCTGAGCTGACATATCCTTGGCTGTGGGATTTACAGCCAAAATAGGTGGCTTCCCCCCCCCCATTCCTCACCCCCTCTACCTTCACAATAGTAAGTCACACCACCAACTCCCATCCAACTCGTTATTTTATTTAGAGCTCTTAGCCAATCTTCAGGGGATGGTGTTTTACGGCCATTGCAAGGCAACTGCGTGTTTTACAAAGATAGATCGTCCTCCGAGCCGTCTAGGAGTTGTAACCTCCTGGTAACGACGCCCTAGTCCCGTGTTTGCCTGCTCAGCTTGGCTGAGCAGCACGTTGGGGTAATACCGTGTCAAGACACAGAGCCGGCAACCACTGAGAAACCTGGGTTCAAATTCAGGTAGCCACAATTGTTAAACTGGTTTCGGAAGTTCAGCTCAATCACCCACGAATACAAAAACAATCGTGAATAAATTATATATTTATTTCCTTCTGTATATTCCAGCTCTGAGAATTTAACAAAAATATAATTTAGTCTTGCGACAAACTCTTTTGGAGGGCATATTTATAGAATATGGTATACGGGTGTGGACATAAGAGATGTATGGAAGGAGCTTCAAAAGCAGTTCTGTGACATCGTCCTTCAGGGCCGTTCTCCAACAAGGCGGTGCTTACCGCTTGCTACGACGAATCCTATCGGAAATTCCTTAGTCCGATGACACGGCACCGACATTACAATTGTACTGGACATGTGAACTACTGTACATCTGTGAAAAAGAGCCTTATGGCTTATCGGATTCTTCCAGTATAAATATTCTGATTCTGTACGTAATTTGGAAAACCAAAACAGTTGTGCACAGCCGCCGGTGAGTGATGTCGCACCCTACACGGCCATGCTCCTTACGGCCACCGCCATCTCCTCCCCCCCCCTCCCCGCCGCGACCTCCCTTGTGCGAGCGAGGGGCCATCGAGGCATGCACGCCGTGTGACGACGGGTGGCGCGTGCTCCTTCGTAGGTTTTCGGGGACATGACGCTAGAGGAGGGGGAGATGGTATGCGTGGAGCTGGTGGCGAGCGACAAGCACAGCAGTTTCCAGCGGGTCATCTTCCAGGGCTCCATCCGTTACGAGGCGTTGCGCAAAGTCTACGACAACCGCGTGAGTGATTTCATAATTTGTTAATTGATTCATTGTTGGCTGCTCCTCCACCCCCCCCCCCCCCCCCCCCGGTTTACCTATTCCCCCATATCTGTGCCACTTTCACACCTATGATTAGCACGGTTGGCTACATACAGTATGAAAGAAGTTCAACATACATACCGATATCTCTGAGCCTCGAGCATTAACGCTGACCTTTAAGAGTTCTGAAGGTGCCGTAGTCTGGCTGGATGAATCTCGTGCATTAACGCTGACTGTTAATCCTTAAAGTGCCTTTGCCTTGCTGTACAAGCCTCGGGCAATAACACTGAACCCTTAAAATTGTAAACATGCCTTTGTCTATCTGAGTTTTGGGCATTAACACAGGACTATTAAAAATTCTCAAGATGCTTCGGTATCGTGTTCAGTGCCCTATTGTATTACATGTTTACCATGTGCGTGCTATGTTTGTCACTTATTGATTTCCAGAATATATTTATGAAATAAAACGAAAAAATTATGCGAAGTGTTAAGTCACAGCGTCCAAAACATGCCGTGGGCTTTCTTTACATGGACAGAACGTATTAATATGGATTGTAATGTATTTGTTTACCCATAAAAGCCTCAATTACGGCAGATGAGTACCCAAGCCAAAGGGGCTTTTAATGTATCGTTGGAGTGATGTGTCACCCGTTGAATAATGATGTATCTGTACTTTGAAATGTGCAAGCAGTGTTGAATAATTATGCGTTGCATGAAAGGATACATTGTAAACAGAAAGTATAAAAAAATACAGAAACTGATTGCGACGTATCATCCTATTACAATGATTCATCAAGTAATATTGAGTCATAAGCTTATAATAGTGCATTAAGTCATACATGTGAAAATCTATTATTTACAGCATGTGTAAATAATGAAGTTTACAGACATTGTCATCATTCGTGCAAAATTGCATCTGAAATCGCTGAGGAGCCACAGACAAAGCTAAAAGGCAGCAGCCAGACGGTGAGCCGGCATCAACAGTTGCCGAAGCTTTGCAGTCCTCTATATATTAAGATGTTTTCATCCAATTCATAATCCTTGATACCTGTTGCAAAGTATAAAACTGCATGAGAGAGAAACACGCGAAAAACAATACAAACGTGATAGTAAAAAACGAGACGTGAAAGAAGAAATTCTTGAATTGCATCACGACGCTGAATTGTGACTATTCGTTGAATCCCTGCGGTGGGGGGGGGGGAGTGGTGCATTGCCTGATTGTAAAAGTCTTAAATCTGAATTTGCTGCACCTCTCAGTTCGCTATAACCCACTGAGTATTGCAACAGGCATCATGTGCGACTGTGCGTGCGTGCAAATAGACGGTCGTGCGTGCAAGGAGATCTCGCGCACTCGTCTGCCTTCTTGCAGGTGAGCATGGCTGCCAAGATGGCGCAGAAGATGTCGTTCGGCTTCTACAAGTACAGCAGTGTGGAGTTTGTACGGATGAAGGGGCCGCAGGGCAAAGGTCACGCAGAGATGGCCGTGAGCCGCGTGGAGCTGGAGTCTCCCGGGGATGACGTCGATGGCGAGAACGACGAGGAGGACGATGACGATGATGATGAGGAACGGGGGAGAGGAGGAGGCGGTGGCGGCAGACGTCACCGAGGAGGTCTGGGGGGCGTCTCCACCAGCTGTTTCCGAGCGCACGCCGAGCGGGTGGGCAACACGGCACACCGCACGCTGAGCGGATGGGCACTGCGCACCGCACACCACTAAACACACACCAATCACGCACCACTCAAACACTGCACATCACCCACACACCACCCACACACCACTGCCACTAGCGATATGGACTCTTCGAGATCCTTATTCTTGTTCGTGGCATTTTCCCTGCACATGTAGCATCTGCCTTCGGGGTCTTCTCTCTCCACTCATTCCTGCTGGACCATTTCTGCATCTACTCTCCAGTCCTCGGCCCATGTGCGCTTCCATGGTCATCATCTTGCTTCCAATGCGGTTTTTCCCTCTTCTGACAACACTTCCAAGCCATCTGTTAATGTCATTTACTCTCCGCTTATCAAGCACGGGCACCGCTCTCGCCTTCTTTCCCATTAGCTTCCTTCTCGACTCATTTGCTGTATGCAACATCAACGGCACGGCTTCGGTCTCTGCAAGTGGAAAAACGACCCTGCTCGGGTTGTACAATGGGAAAGCGGGGCACGTGCTGAATCCGAGCCGTTTCCACGGTGGTCTGGCTTGCTCGTGGCTTAGGTGGCATCCGTCAGCCAGCCCCCGACGCCCGAGCGGCCGCGTCCCACCTTCTACTCGCCGTCACTGCGGAGGAAGCGCCCCGCCGAGCAGAAGGAGCTGAAGAAGTCGCACTCGGCCAACGACAGCGAGGATTTCTTCAAGCGCTACGAGGGCTCCGACACGGAGGAGTATCCGGGTACAGGAAAGCACCGTGTCATCCAGCTTCCACGCACTTGCATTTTTACGCCGCGTGAAAGTACACTGGCTTTCCAAGTTATGCGCTGAGAGACGCACAAACCGGACAAAATATCAGTGGATATTTATTATTCATGTCATTTGTATATTTGGGGTGGAGCGGTAGGACAACCGTTAGCGCCACTGTGCAATGGAAGCTAAGTGGGTTCGATTACTAGCTCTGGGCAGCGTCTGTGATAGTTGGTTATGTGAACCTGTCCTTGGCCTCGCTTCAGTCAAACTAGCCTATAATTAGCACCTGGTACCAGTATGAGCAGTGAAGAGACAAACTCAGCGAGGTGTGCATGGTGATGGCACCCAGCACCACCACCACCACCACGTCATGTGCTCCGACGTCCTAAAGTACAGCCAGAGCGTAATTTCTCACTTTCCTGGACCACCGTTCGGCTGGCTTGTTGAAGGGATTATTGGCGTAAGGCACTACCACTGGCGTGTAAGCTACGCCTCGTCTCGCCTCCGAGTCTGCGATCGAACAACGGTTTTATGCGTTTAGAGTAATTTGCATGCGTTTCGAATTGTTTTCTAACTATAACCTCTATTAGTGAACAGTATATTTATATGACCATGTGAACAGATGTATGTACATTACGAGTACAAAATGAGGCTGAAATTATGCACCGAGGACATTTGTCCTTCACGGAACTGACCCCACCAGCCAATCCAGGCATACTGGTGTATCCCTGTGTGTTTGTGCACGTTGCGCGTGCGCATGTGGGGAGCAGTAGTGCAGCAATTAGCGTACTGCCTAACGAACCCGGTGACCCGAGTTTGATTACAGTTCACGGTCAACATCCGTAACAATTATCTGAGCCGGTCCTGAGCCTCCCCTAGATCGACTGAGCCTAAAATTAGTACTTGGTGTGATGTGTAAACATTGCCACTGGCAGCTGGACGTGGTGTTGGCCACCCACCCCCTAGTGTGCCATGCCGCCCATTCATAGGTGCTCGCTAACAGCACTTGCCCCAATAGTCTATTAAGCCTATACGGGGGAATCTTTGTGTTGTGCGTGCTCATGTGTGGGTGGGTCTCGTTGCGTCCGTGGTTGTGGGAACGCGGGCAGATGGGAAGAGCGGCACGAATCTCCGCTCGCGCTCGCTGTCGGGCACGAGCCGCTCACTCGTAGGCTCCTGGCTGCGGCTGGACCAGCCGGAGGAGAGCTACATGCTGTACGCACACCTCACCTACGTCATGCTGCCCTGGCATCACATCATCGCAGGTCAGTGGGGCCGTGCGACTTTTACCCCGTGCTGTTTACGTGTCTATCTCTTGAGCAATGAAACGCAGCGCGCCCTCAAAATAACCGGGGTGGATATGCCGAGCGATGATGCGGCCCAGCGGTAGCGCGTTCGCTGCTTGTTGAGTTGGTTTTCGCGGCTCTAAACAGGTGGCCGCCCTGATTAATACTAAAACTAAACTAAACTTTTCATTTTACTAGGTATGGCCCGAATGAGCTATATAGCTCTTTTTCAGAAGTGACCTGGCCACAAATGATAGCTCAACAAAGTGGCTTATCAAGTGGCAATTTCTATCAGCCAAATACTCTGAACACACGTTTCTAAATGTGGAGGGAAAAACTGGAGGACCCGGAGAAAAATCCACGCGACCACGGGGAGAACATTCAAACTCAAAATATACAGGTGTCGGGGTCTGGATCGAACCCACGACCTGCGTAGCAGGCGAGGTAGTTCGCAGTGTAAGGATACTCGTCATCTGCTTCACAGTGGATGTTAAATATCCCTTCATTTCATTCGCAGGTGTATACCGGCGTCATGGTCCAAATATGAAAAAAATCGCTCGCAATTTACTCAGTTGGGATTATACATAGCAATTGTCGTCTCCCTTTGCAAGAAAAATTGGCAGTATCCTCCTGAAACAGTCATGGGACTCGGTGAGGCTTTCCTAGATAAATGTAATAACACTCTGAATAATAATATATATCTATCTTGATTTGAAGCTTTCGTGACTGCAGGAATCCATACTCTCTAGTTCTTTCGGTAAAGCCACGTAGGTAGAAAAATAATAGATCACGACGTGTTGACCGCAACACAAGCAATCGTCATCAGATGGGACAACCACAGCTAAGCAGCAAGAAAAAAATCCTTCAGCAGTTTTTTTCTTGCTGTGGTTGTCCCACCTGATGACGATTGCTTGTGTTGTGATCGAAACGTCGTGATCTATTATTTTTCTACCAATGTGACTTTACCGAAAGAACCAAAGATAAATAATATATCGCATAATGAGGGCAGTCTGGGGTGGGATCCTGCAAATTGACAAACAAGAGATTTTGTATATGGGGCAGGCAACATGCAGTTGTATTGAACCTGTGCGCACTGCCGAAATGTCTGTTGCAACTCTTTCCCCAGACATCCTGGAGGTGAGACAAAAGGCTATTCTCATGGTGTAAAACAAAAAAAAAGCCGGATCTTTTGGACCAGCCCAAAAGATGGGATCGAGAAGATATGAAGGGAAACTTTAAGACATTGGGTTGAGCCAGCCTCCTACAGACCCAAGTGCCTCCTCCACTGCTGTGTGCTGGCTTACACACTCGGCCACCGACAATGCACTGCCAAGCGGACAGCTGCTTCTGGGCATCACCTCGATGGTGCAGGGACCCACTGTGCAGCCAAGGAGTGGCTGCCTTTCTATTGCATAAACCCTCGCTCTTTCCACAAGAACTACTAGAAAGCTTTGGATAAAACTCTTTTTTTTAGAACCAACACAAAAAAAATATTTGCTATTAAAAGTTGAAAATGTGACACCTTTTTTGAAAACAGTGGTCACAATTGTTCTTGCAGGGTTACGTTTGTGATCATTATAGTTTGATGACGGTGAGCAAACGGCTGACGCATTCATACAAATGACAAGATTAATGTGAAGAGCAGCAACTTTGAATATGTTAAAGATGTTTCTTAAAAATGTGCTTTTGCTGCTGCATCAGTGGTTTTTGTATGAGTTACATAATCAGAAAAAATAGGCTTCATCAGCATTAGGGGCCATCCATTTAGTACATACGCAAAAATCTGTCAAAATTTTACCCCCCCTCCCTGTATGCACGTGTACTTTTTATACCCCCCCCCCCCACCTGCATACGCACGCCTGACGCACCCCCCCCCCCCCCCGAATCCTATAGAATGGCCGATATTTAATCCACGCAGAAACGATCAAGGATTCATATTAACGTGTTTAAGCAAACAGATAGTCCACCGCCGGACTATCTAACTCATTTGAAGGCCAATGTAGACAAATTATTATCGAGGCTTCACCCCCCCCCCCATTTCCTATGCGTACATACATTTTCACTAGACCCCCCCATACGCAAGTGTACGCATTTAGGTTAACCCCCCCTCCCCCCTCCATGCGTAAGTACTAAATTGATGACCCCTTACCGGTCTAATTTTTCTACCCTGGATCTATCATTGCATTCTGACGGGACCATTTTTTGTGGTAGTAACTTTAAAGGTAGTTGACTCATCACAATACGGAAGCCGCATGCACAACTGCACAGGCCTCAAAATGATGCAAGTGAAATGTTCCCAATTGAAAATAAATTACGTAAACATTAGCACATGCTGGAAAGAAAGCGGCTAAAATTGTTCCATTTTACAGTCCTTGGTTGATTCATTTTTGTAATGAAAAGGTTGTTTGGCTTTTTGTGTCGACGCTACGTATTAACAATATACTATAGAAATTGTGTTAAAACACGTTATTTATTTGAAAGGGGATAGGTGCTACCTGATCTTTCTAATCACCAGCCTCGAAAATTATATTAAATCTATAGTTTTTTTGTGAAATGTACCGTTAATTTTTGGTTTACATCCCACGAGGTAAAACGGATAGCACTGGTGTAAAGATAAACAGCCATCGTAGATGTAATAAGCATTAGAGGGAGGATGCAGAATTTTATTGCAAAGCAATTCCATTGTTGTATTTGCAGTAGCTCTATTGCCAATCATCTCCGTGCTTCATACCGTGTACAGCATGCCGATCGGGATAAACGCGCATCGACTTTGTGAGGCGCAAGACTTGACTTCTCAAGGCAATATTCATCACTCGACCAACACACATGCCTCCTGTCCTCACATCGCTGCTCATTACTCGTAAAGGAGAAAATCTCATTATGGCAGTGTAATGCACCTTTATTAGCAAAACATGCACATGCTGTTAATAGAAAATAACCGTGGTAATTTTACATGTTTGCACAATGGTAGCTTCTGTTCACAAAGCAAACTCCCAATGTGGCTGTATTTATCGAACATTTTTGGTTCCGGACACGAGCACCATTCTCTTCATGTAGACAGCCGGAGCTATCGCATGTGAAGCAAGCATTTGAAAAACAAATTGACATGCGATTCACCTTTTGTTATTTCAAAATTTTGACAAATTTTGTCAGTGGGGAAATGCTTCTAATGGGAAGGCTGGGAAAGATGCTGTGAATGGCTTAAATCACTGTACTTCAATACGTTCATTACAGTTACACTTAATTCATCAATGTGCCCTCAGCCGCTAGTAGATTGTCATTTCCTGAAAACATTTGAGGCCGGTTATAAACAATGTAGTGACACTTTATTGCCGTAAGCACTGATCATGTTTTCATTGTAGTTGTAAGAATAATAAATGATCTCGCTAGCAAGAATTTACAGCCTCATGTGGGTGCTTTTCATTGTTACATTTTCAGAACCGGATGAGGTTTGTTTTGCATGTGCAGCACTCTGTAGTATTCAAATAATGCAGGATTTGTATTCAGTGTATGCAACGCATCACATGGGCATGCAAAAAGGTAGTCACTGCTGCCTTCTACTGGACGACCATTTTAATGCAAAGACGTTTGCCATGTAAACTTTTTGTACATTTCATAAGCGAATCTTACAAAGCTTTCATCACAGCCACCAGGGCCTCCTTTATTTGTTTACCATTGTGCATGCCAATAGTCAAAAAAATGTAAGCTATTTTTTTATCATTATGTAGTTACTCAACATCCGTGCAAATATGTTCAACGTTGTAGGCTGCCGAGTGTAAAACTTACAAGTAAAATTATGCTTTTACATGGATGTATCCCCCATGTGTACACAACACAGAATTGCTAAATGCAAATAAGAGGTTTGTTTTAAATTTTAATGAATTTTAAACCAAAATATATTTTTCTCCATTTGCAAAACTTAACAGTCCTTGACAGGGCTCACGGTCACTTGCAAACTCTGACCAGAGGATCGATTCATTTCATTCACTATGCCTTATGCATTGTTGGCTCAGCAGTGTCATAAGCTCCTAACAATGCGAATAAATATAATTCGGTGAAAAATTCAAATTTACAAAAGGCACTTGGCTCAATGCACCAGTGAATTTCTATGACAGTGCTGATCCACACGTCTAGCAGCTGTATCCAAAGCAAACTCGTTTAAAAAGTTTGTGCCCAACATTCAGGGCCATTCGGAATTTACTCCAGTATAAACCAGTACACGCGTTTATTTTCTCCCAGCACAAACATTTACACGTTCACCTTAAAATGTGGCAAACTGATGAATGGAAAGATACCTGCAGGTTAATATCTCATTCGCTGAATGCGTATGCACGTTAATCATGTACTCTTTTGGATGCACTCGGACAAGGGGTTGGGGGGTGAACCTATGACCTGAAACTTCACTTAGAAACAACCCTCAAACAATATCTCCATCATTGCGTCTTAGCAGCACTAATTGTGGAGCTAGAGGGGGAATACTTTCAATTTGGCAAGTCTCATGTGGGCCCCTTCCAAAATAATTTAAAAGTTTTATTTGGCCCTTGGACAGGAAATGGTTACCCTGTCCCCTATTCTATTTCTACTTGGTCAATCCACATGTTATGTTCTGTGTAATTGGATAACACTAAGGTGGGAAATGTGGCCATCAAAGATAACTGAAAGTCGTTCAGTCGTCGGTAAGGAAAAGGTTTCCCACCCCTATTATATATCAACATATTTTTTCACATTAGGTAACGCAAACACGTGAGAACATGCAGCCCCTGCCAAAAGTTATTGTTTTGTCCTCAATATGGAAGAGCCCCCTGCTATATACTCGCAATGGGCCGACACGTTAACTTTTCCTGCTATTATTGGATGATGCCAAGGTAGGTGTGTGTGTTAACATTGTGGCCCGACAGAATTCTCAAGTTCTGTTCTGCCCTCTGTATGAACAAACGGTGGCAACTGCCAATCTGCACAGGAAACCGACAGAGCACTCTCCATGCATACGCGTACACACACCTACACAACGTGACAGCGGCTACGAGCCCTTTTTGTCGCCGATAGCGCGGTGAAGCTCGTCGGCGTCCTCGCCCGTCTTCACGCGGATCAGCATGGGGACGACGGCGTCCTTGCTGCCCTCGTCCACCGGCGGGTTGGGCACGCACATCAGTAGCACGTTCTTGCCCGTGCGCGTGCACACCATGGACGGCTGCAGCAGCACGTTGAGCAAGATGTTGCCTGCAGAGCGAGCGAACGAGCGACGGGGCAGGAGGTCAAGGGGCCAGACCGTGGAGGAATGCCACACTCCCACCAATCTAGATTAAAAATGTCGCTTTTGTAACTCCATGTACTGGTACACAGCCCTTTTGTCAATCAAGTGACGCGCGAGGGCCTCTCCACATCGGGAGGGGGTTGTGAGAATTATTTTACCATACTTCACTGCACTAGTCAGTGCAGGTTGGTTAGGCACAGTACAGTGTGAAATAGGTTATAAATAAATACAATCTGCGTATTGTGGTGACCCATTCGTGCTCTACCCATGATCACCCCCCCACTTAGCTACCAAGAACCGATAGCACTTAATGCATTCCAGGTTATTTGGTCATAGGCATTTGTAAATTCAGAGTCAAGGATACCTACACAATGTCTAATAGGCATGGAGCAATTCCATGAATGTCATTATTCTAATGTTGCAATGAGATCACAATTCAACAAATTAATAATTTTCGTTAAACCTATGTAATTGGCCACAGGGGTCATTAATTCGAAAACACTCAATTCTCATGCACACAATTTGATACCTGTTGTGAGCATAAGAATCGATTTTAATCAAATGCATGGACTGTTCCATGACTAATATTTGATATGCACAATTTGCTTACAACAATGCGAACATATGCCAGCAGTTAACGGGTTTTGTAATTTCGATCTTCAATGTGATAGGATTGCATTGGCTGCGCTTTACTAATAAGTCCAGACATCTCTACTTTCACCACCTTCATTTGCCGTGCAATATTGATTTCAACTGAAAACCACAGCGTCGCCTGCTTAATCTAAATCAGATTTCGGCAATTCAATTACAACTAAGTTAAAAACCGGGGTGTCGTTAATGGTCATCACCGACTCCTAAGTTCTGACTCGTCACTTACCCAGGCTGGTGTCGGCTCGGATCAGAAGCTGGGTCTTTTTGTTCTCCATCGGCTTCAGGTGCAGCATTCCCACTCCTTTCTCCTTGAATTCTTCACCCTTCTTGTAGAAGAGCTTACACCTGGGAAAGCACATGCGCAAGAATTGGCGCTTTCAAACGGATGCATCACTGGGGATCTTTGGAAGACATGTTCAACGTAAACCGTTTGAGATGTAGTTATATAAAACTAGCTATTTGCCCGTCCAAGGACGGGTGTATTGCAGTAAATCTGAATTTTGCAAGCGAAAAGCAGACCGCGACGTGATATTCATTGCATTAATGCGTGTGCAATTTGTAAGGGCGCAGTGACACAGACCTATTTCATTTCATGGTTATAATCCCTTGTTCATCATCATGCCTCGGCCCCCATGTGGAGTGCCGTCAGCCGCGAGTTATTATGAATGGGGGGGCGGGGTGTACATTTGGAGGACGTCACCTTATGATTATTAATGAGGGGGGATGTTCGATGTGGAGTGACGTCACCTGCTCATTATTAATGAGGGGGTCCATGTGGAGGACGTAACGTCGTGAGAATATTATTATTGTGTTATTTTATCAATTTATTATTTTATTCTCATTCTACGTGACTTTACCGAAAGAACCAGAGGACGTAACCTGTTCATGATTATTGAGGGGGGCTGGTCGACGTGGAGTGACGTCACTTGCGCATTACTATTAGTGGGAGGGGGGAGTACTCCATATTGAGTGACGTCACCCGCTCATGATTATTAATAAGGGGTGGCAGGGTGTCCATTTGGAGGACGTCACCTGCTCATGAATATTAATGAAGGGGGCTGGTCATTGTGGAGTGACGTCACAAGCGTTAAGGACATATTCCTGGATGATTATAGTAGGCATGTACGAAATGTCGTGGAAAAATGCAAGCCAACAAATGATTACATTTCCCCTAGTAGAAGGCCCAAAAACAACCGGCACTAACTTTGTTGAGTAGAAGGCGTCGCTCTCCTTCACTTCATTCACGACGGGCTTTGGAGGCTCCTCGTCCTCTCCATCCTGCTCTTCAGACTCTGTACCAACACCGCATTAGAGTTTTTTTAATATATATAAAAAAGAGCCTCACATCCTTATTGCAACAGAACACCCTAGAATATGCTTCAATAGTAAAATCAAAGTCTGCTTTGCCTGTGCAATGTGGTGCCCACACGCACAACCTCCTTACCCTGGGCAAGTGGCTTTTGCACAGACGATGCAGAGAAGCTGAATCCGGGCACCGCTGGTGAAGAACCAAACCCAGCATTTGTGAATGTAAATGTTGGCAGTGCCGGGTTGCCAGTAGCAGACGCGGTGCCAAATGGAGCTTTGGCCGAGGTCTTTACAAAACTAAAAGTTGCGCTCCCAGCCAGGGGAGCGGCAGACTTTCCGGAAATCGCAAAAGATGCGGCTGAGCTCTGCCTGCTGTTGCTGGCGGTCGTGGAGCCTGCCGTGGCGTTGGCCGCCTGAAGACCTTGGAAGCTGAGCGGCGCAGCCTTTGGTGACTCGGCGTTCCGGGACAGCTTGGCAGCGCCGTCGCTGTCCGAGCCGCTCTCGCCACTGTACTTCTGGTCAATGTCGGCCAGGTGCCTCTCATAGTCACGGAACACGGGGGTGAGGTCGCACAGCGGATTGCCGTTCACGTGCTTCACGATCCAGTCGCGCACCGAGTAGTTCAGCGAACGCAGCTGGTGGTTGTACGTGCCCTTTTCGCTGCCGCTCCCACTGTGGTCACTGTGGCTGCTGTAGGCGAGTGCTGTGGACTGCGAGGCATCCGCTGTGCTGCTCCCGGTTTTTGGCGAACCTTTGCCGGCTGCCTGGGCGAGCGCAGTCTGAGTGCTGGACGACGACAGGGCTGAGCTCTCGCCATTCAAATTCGAAGACGCTACAAGACAGGTCGGCAACACGAGGGTTAGCAGTCTTTCACATCCGTGCAAAGTGGTTTAGTGATATAAAGTCAATACAAATCCACAGATTGTTTATTCCTGGCTGAATTAGGACACGCCGAAGTACGCACCCTGGCTGAAGGGACTGATCTTCGTCTGGGTGCCGCCGCTGGAGTGGAAACCCGACTTTGTGGCTGCACTCATGCTGGGAGTCGTGGGCAGCGCCGATGAGGCAACTGTGCTGCCATTCGCCAGCCCCGCGAGAGGCTTAAATCCACCAAACCCCGAACTCAAGGACCCGAACCCAGATGCGCTGGAGGTCACCAATCCTCCAAAGCCCTTGAAAGTTGTCTTTGCGGACTGCACAAGATAAAACAGCAGACGTTTTTGTTTCAAATTTTAAGTGAAATTCTTCACTATTGGCATTGGAGAACTACAAGGATTTGACGATCCACAGTTTTAAATGTGAATGGCATGTGAAGGCACGGAGACATACACACCTCTGATGTATCCCCCCCCACCCTCCGCCGGGCTTTTTTGATGGCTCGGCCTTTCAGAACATCTTCATTTGCGACCGAAAAACTTCCTGCCTATAAACATTAAAACAGTGTTTCACACACACAGCAAACTGTAGAATGACACTTGCGGAGTAGCCTTTGATAATAATACAATCATGGGCATCCCCCCACAGTGTTAAACAGCAAGAGGCAATTGATGTAAGGAAACCACGAGCTTGCTTTTTTCCCCAACCACCTTAGTGAAGGTGCAAAAAAAACTATTTGATTCAAAGATATCAAGCACTCCTACCTCTTCCACATCGTCCTCGTCGTTCCAGTTGCGGTCGTTAAGCTCCCTGTCTGCAATCCGTTTTGCCATCACGAGTCACAGCACGCACTGTGTGCAGGGAAAAAGAAAAGAGAAAAAACACGTGACCGATGAAGACGCCTAAGCTGGCTTTTGTTGCCACAGCTCTTACGAGACGACCACGCGTTGATGCTTACTACCTGCGCTATTTTTTTCCATCTGCCACAAGGAAGCGCAGACTGGGCCAAATCTGATCCTTGACCTTCATTTGCCAACCAGGTTTAATTTTTTTTTTAAATGCAGTGTGCTCTTCCTTTACAAATGATGTTGGCTGCAATGAAAAAAAAAGATGACATTGTGAAAAAACTGACACGTTGCAAAAATAAGCGTTATTTAATAAGCTACCTTGGGTGTAATTCTGGAAATATATCCGCAGAAAGTAATTCTTACCCCAAGGCCCAGGGGTCTGCAACCTGCGGCACCGGAGCCACGTGCGGCCCTTTCACGACTGCTTCGTGACGTTATTTATTAAGGACCACCGTCTCGTAAAAATTCTTCTTCTTGTTATTTTGGTTGCTGACCCCTTCCCGAGGCCATGCTTATATTGTGAATAAGTTACCACGTGAAAATGTAAGATTATAAGATTGGGCAGACACATTTATTTGTTTCCACAACAGCATTTACAATGCAACAACTTAAGTTTCTGCGGGTCCTAAATATCCGAGCTGACTTGCCTGCTTTCTCATTATTTTATGATACAAGGGAAATTCATACAAAGACCACTTTGCCACAACACAACAGTGATTATACTTGTGTCTATATATAATATATGCAGTCATTTAAACTGATCCAACATCCCACAACCTGAAATAATCAGAAAACCTAACACTATACTCTGGTTCTTTCGGTAAAGTCACGTAGGTATAAAATAAAATAAATCACAATCTAGATTGAACCTAACACTAGCCAATTTCACCTGATCAACCTGGCCAAACACCATAACCCTTACCTGACACAAACTTACAGGACAACGTTACCAGCTTTACAACCAAAACCTGACAGACCAAACACTCCTTGATCCAAAACAATCCCACAATACCTACAACAACTCCACCAAACTGACCACAACCTTACCGTACCTACCACTGCCGAACTTGCCACAACCCAAACACCAAATTACAACACAAACAGGCCCCAGACCAACGCAGACTTAAAGAAAAAAAAAATCTCACCACATACATCCAAACCATACCCTAAAAACCCAATCGGCCTGAAAAACCCCATCAGATGCAAAACATTTCAGAACAAAAGACAACCTAACGAGGCTCAACTTGACTAAGACCACCCCGACCAAATGTAACCGACGGGACTCAAACCATAACCCAGACCCAACTCCAACCAAGACCGAAAACTAAGCCCTGTAACCCAGTCCAAATATTCACTCACCCACCATTACAGCTCATGCCAATCCAGACAAACCCTAAATAAAGCACTCAACCCTAAACGTGTCCCTTAACCGACCAATCGGTAAGTTTAAGATAAAAAAAAATATTTGTTACACGGATGATCCCGTTTAGCCATTTGCCGGCATATTTTACACGGGAGATCCTTAGCGCGAAAAACATAAATCTCGCACACGACGAAATGAATATCGCACGAAGCATTTAACGGTCGTAAACGGAGATACAAACCGTAATCCATGGCTCGCCTAATCCTTAACCCATAACAAATTCTAACCGAACCAACACCAACCTAGTTAATCCAGACCCAAACCGACCCTTAACCCAAATCAATATAACCCCGAACCAAATCCTTAACCATGTGCTAAACCCAAACCAATATAGCCATACCCCGGAAGCAATCATATCCAGTTTAAAACAAACCCATTAACGATACAATATTGCCCAATCAAATCTTACACCACCCCCCTAACCCTACTCTGGCCGATCCCCCAAGCCAATCCCGCAACCCTTAAAACAAAAAACCCCCCAGCCCATAACCATTCCCTTAAAACCAACCCCCCTAAAACCCAACACCCACCCCTCAAATCGATCCCGTTTACTGAAGCGAACCCGGCGCGGCTCTCAGGCGACGCGGGGGCTTCATTTTTCTCGCGGGGCCTAGCGCAGGCCCGAGCCGCACGTGAACCGCGGGAACGTACCCAGGCGTCTCTCTCTCGTGTCACCCACCCCCTCTCTCCTCCTCTACCGCACACGCGACAAGCCGCGGTGCGAGTCTCGAAAGCGCCGGGTTGAGAAGAAAGTCGCCGCCGTTTTTATCCGCCTCGTCTCCCCCCTCGACTCGGCAAAGCGCGCGCGGCGACCGCCAAACAAATTCGCCCACCACGCACCACCACCACGCACCAGGCGGCAAATGCCGCGGTGACGTCATAGCGTCGTGACGTCACACGACGCGTGCCGGTATTTGACATCATGTGCACGTTGCCGTGCTGTGGTTAACGCGCCGCGCTACGAACCCCCCCCACCGCTCGCGGTCCAACACCGGTGACGATTATCTAGAACCGGCCATGGGTCTCCCCGTGGTCGACTCAGCCTTAAAATTAGTACCTGGCGCGATGTGTAAAAACATCGCACATCCGGGGAGGGGGGGGGAGAGAGACAAAGGCGGCCGGGCGTGGTTGTTGGCCACCCAACCCCCGTCGTGTACCGTTGCCGGCCTTCATAAGTGCTACTCGCCAACAGCAAACTTGCCCCGACAGTCTCATAAACCTACACGGTGGGACGGGGGGATGTTTTATGTCACGTTACGTGCGGTGCGGTGCTAATTACGTCACGTCGTGATTGCGTGCCGTCAAAACGTCGCGGGCGGGCGTCGTGACGTCATGTAACGGTACGCGACGTCGTGATGCGGTGATGTCATTGCACGTAACGTAGATTTTTTTTTTAATCTCTTAACGTTACGTTATAATTATTGTTCTTACTTTGTTAACCTTCTCAGATCGTCTTTGGGTGGGGGGGGGGGGGGATTTAGCTTTGTCGCTTTTTGAGCCGATGCTTGAAATTCCACGTTCACATGACGGGGTTATATGGAGGGGGTTTCCATATCTGTCATATATATTCGGTTTACCCCGTATTCTTGTGCAGGGACATTAAGTTTTCAGGTCCATACGGCGTAACAGCTGTTTCAATACGGCCAAAAATATATATTTTGTCTGTGTTTTTCCCTTGTGATGGGACTTTGTAGGATGAACGTTGAAATGTATAAGGGCACGGGGGTGACCAATAACATCTGAATTGGTCTGTAATAAGCTAGGCACTAAATTTTGATTTAAAGCTTTCGTGACTGCAGTAATTCATATTCTTAGCTCTTTCGGTAAAGTCACGTTGAAGGGGAAACAATAAAACAATAATATATATATAAAACAATAAAAATTCTCACGACGTTTCGACCATAACGCAAACGGTCACTGATAAGGGGTTGACTTCTTTTTACAATGCAGAACACCAACAAAAAACCAAAGTCAAATATTTATTCGTGTCGAGCTTCGGTCTATTATCAAATCTGTGCAGCGACGTTGAGTTCACTCAAATTCACCACAACACCGGTGGCTACTGGATCTCGATACAGGTTTTGGGTTTGTTAAGCGACAAAAGTCAGCAAAAAAAATCGGTAACCGTTTCCCGTGGATTGCTAAATAAATTTATGCAGTAAATTTGCAAAGGGCGGGGCGTGGGGACGAACAAACGGCACGGCAAGTGCGGCTCTTGATTGGGAAAGTTAAGGTCAAAAGTTAATTGTGCCAAGCCCCGCTGCGATTGCCCTGTCTCGCCACAACAGGTGGGTGGCAGGGCCTCCAGTAGAGGGCGCCGTAGAGGGCACGGTAACTTTTGTTTATCAACTCTTCACCCCAACACTGACGAGACGAGTTGACTGGGGGTCGTAATTCAACACACACACACACACACGCTGTAACCCCCACCCCACCACACGTGCGACTTGCCCGTCTACTGTGGCAGACCCATTGATACTGCTAGGCGAAAAAAAAAGACATGTCCTTATGCGTAACAAACCGGTAACCGGTTTCTTGCTATAGGTTACCAGGATTTCAACCGAACACAGATGGGCAATTCTCGGACTATGCGGGTCAAATCCTCAACCGCAAACAGCTATGTCCAACACTGTCCTGCATTCGTTGGAAATTCTACGTGGCTTCGGTAAATTTCGATTCCTTATCAACAAAACCGCGATTGACTTGAGCCGAGACAATCCTGAATACAACTTCTTTATCTTACCAAGTGGTGGGAAATGGCACGTTCTTAAGACGCGCCCCAGTCTATCGTGAACATGCAATGGGATTCAGAAACTTATGAAAAGTTTTCACTTAACGACTAAAATCGATACACTCGTGATATAGGACAGCAATTTCGTCTCGTACACATTTTTTTCATGTTGGCCCATGCTCGTTACTAAAGAGACACAAACAAACAGAGTATATGAGCTAACTAAATACTGAATATACAAAGAACGAGTCACACTTCGGGCCAATAGGACGACAAAGCATTTACAGATTATTTAAAAGCATCGTAACCTCGAATCGTGACAATCGAATTCGTGAGAGTGGAATTTTGGGTTAGTTACGTATGTACAATACTTGTTACTCGAAGCAGGGTTTAATATCAACCAGCAGGAGCTGTCCAGGGCCGAGTTCCGGATAATACCCTCAGGTTTTGGGATATGATGCGTAAAAGAATTAAGCACTCTAACTCCACGGTAAGTAGTAAATGTAAACCATGCGTTTCCCTTGGTCACTCATTTTACTCAATAGCGCCCCCGGTTAAAACAGCTGTGTGCAACATCTGAGTCATGTTGAATTCTAGCACCACGCAATACGTTCCAGTACATTTATACACATTCATCATTAGCAGCAGCAGCCACGGTCCATCCACTGCTGGATGACCACCCCAAGCCGTCGCCATCTCTCACGATTGTGCAATGTAACAAAGACAAAGATCCCCCCAAGCACGTGGGTTTCCAATACCACGCCCGACCGCCTTTGTCTCCCCTGTGCCGATGTTTACACACCACACCAGGTACTCATTTAAGGCTGAGTCGACCAAAGGTTAAGCCCTGGGCCGGTTCAGATATTCGTCATCAATGTTCATCGTGAGCGGGAAATCGAACTTTGGTCGGGGGTTATAAGCGCAGTGTTCCTAAGCACTGCTCCAAACTGGACAGATATAATACTATCGGTTATATTGGTACTGTCTGATGCATTTTAGCATTCAATGCGATCCTTCGATTTAAGAGCATTGATTGGATTATTTTGTATTTTCGATAGAAGTGGCTGGAGGTCCTATTTGTGGCCACAGGGATTACGTCCTATTTTAGAGCTACACAGAACATTAACGGTGTTAATTACTCATGCGGAATGCGGGTAACGTTGAAATGTCCGCACAGACGGGTTCATGAACCCCACTTGATGTATTAACAACCATCTTCGGAGTCAACCTTGACAGCCCAGCGGGTGTGGTAGTGTCACAAATGTGCATGTGATCCACCTACCCCTTGCCTCCAAAGCTTTAAATTAAATAAATAATCCACTGCTGGATCATGGGACCTCCTCTTCCCCCCCCCCCCCCAAAGAAGTAACAATCTCTCACGGTTCTGCGATGTATCATCAATCTGGGTCTTATTGTTCCGCTCCATCTCCCCGGTTTACGTGCTCTAAGGGGCTGCGAACTGACGTTAGTTTTGACCATCACCACCACCACCATCATCGTCGTCTCTTCCTGGCCGTCATGCAACCCCACTCCCTTTGCTTAACGGATCTTTACAGGCAAGTCCCGATTAAAATAAACAAATGACAAGCGGTCGTTAAGTCAGCGTAACGGTTCAGCGCCTTTAAAGTGTGATTTCGTATCCCAAATATAACGCGTGTTCAATTATTATAAAGTACACGTACTTACGATTTTGAATGTGTTTTTCCTCTCTCTCTCTCGGTGCGTTGGGTGATGTTTGCATGGCACGTGTTCGTCCTCGGCGATGGCTCACAACAAGCCCTTTTAACACATTCTCCTGCGGAGGGAGCTGGTAGGAACGTTGGGTAGCTCGGTCAATGGCCAGGGTCAACGGCGGCACCACGTGGTGTATTCCGCACAATGTGCCCGAATGTGAGGGCGGGCACAAGCCGGCGTGAGTAGGTTAAACGTTGAGTTTTATAAGGGCACCACCGGGTGACCAGCCCCTCCCCACCCAGCCCCTCCCTCCCCACCCAGCCCCTCCCTCCCCACCCAGCCCCACCCCTCCCATTTTTGGATGCACGACGGACGGACGGACACAATAATCCCCTGTGGGCTGGTGGTGTAGTAACCAGGAGGTTCCTGCCAGTGGGGTTGCGGGAAGCAGTGTAGCGGTGGCGCAGTCGTTAGCGGCCCAACATCGATGGGCGAGTCGTAACATCTGAACCAAATCATGGACCGATGTCCACCAGATGTCTCGTCGGCGTGGTCAAAGTATGGTTCGAACAAACTGGCTGCCACGGGAAGGCCAAAGCGAGCCTTCAAATCAAATCAAATCTCTCGAGCAAAGTGTATCGTGGAAACCCAGAGGCCCGGTGTCTGTAGCGATGTAACACGAACCCATTGCTGGTACATGCACCGCATGCGAATCAGAATATCGATTCGATGCATCGTGAGCCTGGAACGTCAAACATTAATCGCTGTTAACAATAGTAATTCATTTTTCCGCGGTGCTAACGTTAAACATTCATGGCTGTTAACAATAGTAATTCATTTTTCCGTGGTGCTACCGTTAAAAAAAACCCGCCACTTTTTTCAAATTTTCTCGCTGTGGTTTTCACACCTGATGATGATTGCTTGTGTTGCAGTCGAAACGTCGTGAGAATTTTACTGTTTTATATTTTTATTATTTTATTGTTTCCCTTCTATGTGACTTTACCCGAAAGAACCAAGAATATAATAGTGATTCAGTTAGCCAAAGCTGACAGGTTTGAGCTTGTACCTCCACTTACACGCCTATGCAAATGTAATTTAAACTGCGATAATGGGTGTGTCATGTTCAATTATCTCTCGCCGTGTTTTGTGACGTTAAATATTGTTATTTGGACGTAATTACTGTTATATTTATCCGTGGGGCGCCACGGGTTTTAATGTTACGCGCGCTGTTTTTGCCTGTTAAGTTCTAGCCCCTGTGTTCAAAATATCAATGGTTTGAGTAGGTAAAAGCTATTACCTTACTTTCCTTGTGTGGAACACAATGTGCAATGTGATGTGTAATATATAACATGTATAACATCAGTCACGTCAATCCACTGCTGGATTAAGACCTCCCCAGACCACTACCATCATCTTCATTATCTCAAGCACCTGCAACCACAACAGTCCCGATTGTCCTTGCTCCATTATAATAAAATCAAGTTAAATGTAAAACATCCACTTTTGTAGGCAGTCATTTGCGCTAATAATACAACTGCATACATTTATTACAGGCTAAAATGTCAGAATATGTATTGATACCGGAGGAATCCGATGAGCTATAAAGCTCTTTGCCACGTGTCCAGTCGAGGTGGGTCGGTAGTGAGCGCTAACTACTGTACTGTGATCTTCTTACAGATTCTACCAATGTTAGAAAAATAAACTATAGCAGCAGACAATATATATAAAGTGATGTGCAGTTCTACACGGGTACTCTATAGCACTTTAAAACCTAACAAAACAAATTCGTATATATTGGTGTGGGCGGCCTTCATCTAGCAGTAGATTAACAGAACGGTAGTTTCATGTACTGTACACACAGTACACCGGTACACTGCTATAATTAATAAAATATTGATTTGTTCATACAATATACCAGGCTAGTGTGTGTTACAGTCTATGTGCGGATTATATGTGTAAACACTTATAATAGCCCAATGGCAGTCTGCCTAAACACCTAGTTTTTTTTTCCCTCGGCTATAGTAAACAAAAATAACCATTTGCTGCGCATTATTAACCCTCTTTAAATTAAGCAACAACCCTGGCAGATAACATATTGTATTGCAAATACAGCACTGTACATGAGCGTGATATGTTTATTAACATTAACATCGGTGTAGCTTGTCAGCAAAAACACGACTCAAGACAAAGGCACACGCAACACACCACTAAATGATTTAGCAAAATTAATGCACAACTGGACATTGACGTCTAAGTGGAGTTATTGCTCATAACAGTACAGTACTCAGTTTAACAGTACTGTATAAACTTTGGACCGAAACTCCATTGGTGGTGGTGGAAGAGAAAACACAAGCCTCTGTCCGCTACATCGCTGTGACCTGTAAGTGCACAGCCATCGGACAGAAGCAACTCTGTAAGCTGAAGCCAATGGTCAAGCTCAGCAACCCCCCCCCCACCCCCTGGGGTGTTATGACGTCATTACGCAGGAGTCGCCAAAAAAAACGACGTGGCCTCGCATCCACGATGACGTCACTTCACGACGTCACGCCGACGTGACGTCACGTGATAAACTCGGTTTCCCCCCCCCCCACCGAGTAGCGTTTGCAATTTAAAAATGTATTTTTTTAATACTTCAAAATAAATAAAAACACAACGCAGCCATTTAAAACGCGTTAAAACCAACAACACAGGCAGTTACAACTACACGTGTTTTAAGTTTCCCGACGTGTTTGCGTGAGGTTCACCTAAAAGGCGTTTGCCGAAATGTTTTTTTGGCTCAAAACCGAGCACTTATTACGTAATTTTTTTTTATCAATACCGCAGTACGGGTAGCAATAGTTAAGTTATGCCCAGAGTAAATCGGGGGGGCACGGGGGGGGGGGGCAAGAGACCCTGCACTACTCCCCCCCCCGCCCGCACAACGCGGAGGGAGAGGGGGGAGAGGGGCCCAGCCCACCCGGGCCACACGTGTGGACCCCCCCCCCTCCTCTCTCCCCTACCCCTCATACTTCAGCCCCCCCCACCCACCGTCTCCATCACATCAACCCCCCTCCCCCATTCCCCGCCGCGCTCGCTGTTTCTGCCGCGGGAAAGGACGCGACCAAACTCTTTGCCTCGCGTTCGCGTGGCTCTCGCGAGGCAAAGGGGGCGCCGAGTTTGCCATTTTAAAGCGGGTACTTTTTGGCGAGCGCGTAGTAAAGTAGTGCGCGGGGGAGGGGGTGAGGGGTGACGGAGGGGGGGGGGCGGAGGGGGAGGAGTCGCGAGCAGGCCCTACATCCGGGTACTTTCCTTAGGCAATGCCGGCCGCACCACACCTATTCCTTAGACAAAGTGAAATAAATTCGCCGTCAATGGAGAAAACGTAGTCCGTCCCACCACCCCTCTACTCCCCACTCACATTTTTTTTTACTTGTGAACATTTGTTTCTTTTTTTTTTAAATCGCGTGGATCGCCAGTCCGGCAAGCCGTCTTGTTTACGTGTGTTGGAGGAAGAGGAGGAGGAGGAGAGGGGGGTGAAGAGGATATTTTTTTTTTGGTGAGCAGCGGTTGTTTTGGGAAGCGGGTTGAAGGAGGAGGAGGAGGGGGGGGGGCTTTGCTTTTCTGAGTAAGTTTTTTTTCCCTCTGTGTGTTGTGTTTTGTCGGTCCGCGCCGTAAAGTGTGTGATGAGTCCCGAGCAAAGCAAGCGGGCAGCAGCTGTGGCTGAGCGAGTGAAGAGAACTTAGCGCTTGTTCACTCCACTCCAGTGGGGGCCCGCACTTTTAATGTACTTTTCTCTCTTCTGCTCTGCTGCTGCTGCTGCTGCTTGTCCTCCTTTCGCGCTCTGGGCGGATCCCCCCTACAAAGTCGCCGCGAAGTCGCCGGCATGGAGCTGTCGGGTCTTCAGGAGGCGCTCAAGAAGGAAATCCAGTGCCATCAGGTAGGGGTGGGACTTGTGCTTCTTGGAGGTGGATGGAGGGGGGGTAAAGGAGGTGGTGTGGGTTTTTGGTGGTGGTTGTTGTTGTTGGGGTATTTTTTTCTCGTTATTTATTTTTGTTTTATTTCTTGTTTTTTTTACGTCCTTCCCCACCCCCCCCACCACCACCACCTCCTAACTGGTTTTGGTTATGGAGGGTTGGTTGGCCTCGTACTGTCGCTTGCGAACAATATTATAGTGTAGACGTATTTTTGTGAACACGCACAACCACCAAATTACACTTAGGGGTTGAGATGATTAGATGACTACTTAAAATAATAATTAAAATTAATTTCGATGAAATAATAGCCCACATTCACGACGTGTATTATTAATATAGTCGGATTTCTCAAAATAGTACGAAGACTGAATACGTAATTTGTTAAACTATTTAAATGATAACAGCTTAGCGGTGACCCTATGCCCCACACCCCCCTCCCCCCCAACAGTACAACTCGATGGATATTTATATTTTCTCCTCGTAACCTCACGTAGGCCAACATTTCCCTCTCATCACGGGCTTTGGACCAGTCGGGTAGAGGATGGGGAGGTTATCAGGTTAGGGGGTTAAGATAACGATAGTGGTCACCACGTCCATCGCGGTATTGCCCACACCCCCCTCTCCTCTCTTCCATCATCATCATCCTCCTCGTCGTCGTCATTTTCCCGGACAAAGTTTTTGCTGTCACCTCTCCTGCCAACACCACCACTTTTTATTTGGCCGAGCAGGGCGAGCGAGGCCTGGGCAAAGGCGCCAGGGTTAGTGGGGGGGGGGGTGGACGCGTGGCTCGGCCGTGGCCCAGGAAGTGTTAAACTTGCACAATGTGGCAGGCAGCGATGCTTAAACCCATACCCACCCACCCCGAATCCAGATACAATATACTGTAGTCGATACTCCGTTGTATTGTATACGCAATATAAACCACGATTGTTATACGCGAGGTGGAAAAAAAACATGTTCTTTTTCGATGTAGTTGATGGGCGGCGGTGATAACTGGGTGTTTCTGTTCCCTTATTTGACGATACAATTGTTAATTTTCTTCTATTTTTTGGGGGGGGGAGGGGGGTATTGTATTACAATAATCTTGGCACGTGTGGTTTGTTGTAGTTTGATGAATTTGGTGATGGTGGTTGTTGCTGCTGCTGCTGTTGGGTTTGCAACATTTATTTATAACCGGTGGTGCTGAATTGTCGCTATCATTTCCGTTGGTTGTTGTGAATTGTGGTTGTGATCGTACCAAGGTGATTTGCCGTAGCTTTGTTACGCTTTTGTTTTTTTTTTATAAACTTGACGTTAGTTGAGACCACGGCGCTTACGTGAATAGCAATGGTTAATGGTTTTGGGTGTTGTGTCGATATGCAATGTCTTCCCTCCCCTTTCGTGAGACAGCGTTTGTGTGTCTCGTGTTTTGTAATGTTTGTTGCACCACAATAGCGAGCGTCGTTGAATAATCCATACTGTAGGCCCCAGGCGCCTGAGGCCTCCTTGTTGTTAAACATGCTTCTCAAAGCGGGGCAGCACAGTCTCTCTTACCTTGTTCACGCTTAATTTCGTTTCTGCTACTTTGATGGAGGAAGGAGGACGGGGAAGAGGCTTGTAATGGATATGTAGGGTAGGGGCAAGTGATTTGGTTTTGGTTGGTGGCGTTCCAATGTTTCCTTCTCGCACTGCTTTGTTAAGAAGTACAGCGGTTACAGGCCACCATGTACACACACACTCAATACCATGTGTGTGTGCGCGCACGTGTGTGTGTGTATCTTTCAGAAACTTGTTGTGCAGATGAAGCAAGACCCCCAGGTACGATGATGACCAAACCCTTTCCATACTTGTGTGCGCACACGTGTCCACATGCGAGAAGGGCGAGTCTTTACAGAAGAAGAAGGGGGTGGAAAAAAACCCCATGGTCTCTCTCTCTCCAGCCGTAGGTGTGGCTCAGCTAATACCGATTGTTCCTGGCCCTCCTTATGGGCAGTGGTGGTGCCATTCCACCTGCCCTCCCCCCCAAGCCTTTTTCTAGGCTCTCTATCCTCAGAGTATTTGCCCGGGTATCACTTTTTTCTCGCCCAATGAGCATGTGCCCCCACCACCACCCAGCATCACGCTTTGTGTATTTATAGCAAGTGCACTTTTTTTCTTACTAAATGGGTTGCCCATGCGCTTGGCCTGTACATCATTAGAAATCAAATTTGTGTCGTAGCAGTAATGTTTATAAAACGGAGGTGATGTTTTTTCTCTCTTTTTAACGGTGTTTTTTTTACTTTCAGAATGCAGAATTGAAGAAGCAGCTGCATGAATGCCAAGCTAAAATAACTTCGCTCAGTGAAAAGCAAGTGAGTAACTGAATGTCTACCATCTCTACAGAGGCTTGCATTCATACCAGTGTTTTTTGTGGGTTCTTAAAATGACAACTTTTTGTGAAATAAAAAGAAATAATCCTCGTTCGGACAACGGGCCTCGATAAAGCATTTGCTTTATCGAGGCCCGTTATCCGAACGAAAGAGAGCAGGGGGGGGGGGGTCTGTACATTTGCAGGTGCCCTTTGTTAGATTTGGAGTTGTTTTTATAAAACAAAAATAGGCAGAGATAATGTACTGGGAATGCTGCACCTGCTACTTACAGATTGCATGCAGCCCGTGAGATGAAATGCCAATCCTGGAAAAAATCAAAATGGTGCCTTAAGCATCTTTCATGGTAAATCTGGAACCGGAACATTTGATTCTTAGATGTTTGCTCTTCTGTGGGGTATATTTTTGTTGTTAAGTCTGGGAGTTTATTGTTAAACTGTGTGTTGTGATCTTCCATCTTAACGTATTGTAAACAATGATTATTTTAGTGTCTGTTAAAGCGGCTGTTTTCTGCCTGCCCGTACGTGTTATCAAAGTTAACTTTTGTTTGATATGGTGTCACTTTAATCGTGACATGAAACCTCATTTTACATGATAGGTACACGAATGTTGCGTGTTGTTTAAGTCAAAGAAATCTATTATCTTTTTTGATATTCAGTGATGATAACAAAATATGACACCAACACATTAGTTCGCATTGCAAATAATATATGTGTAAACAATCGTACGTTGTATAAATCGGGCATTGTTCCGTTGTGAATTTTGTCACAGAGCGAAAGGTAAGGATTAACTGAGAAAGATCATGGATGGTAATGGAGAGAAAATGGAAACTTTATGGGAGCTGTGCATTCGCTGGAACTAAAACTGACCAGCTGCGCAAACACAAGTACTCTTTACTTGATGGGTTTTTGCGTGATTTAAAAATGGTTTATATTGATATTGAAGTTATTTTAATAGGAACTTTACTGGAGAAAAAAACAGACCAGTTTGAAGTAAACTATGATATATATTTTTTGAATACTGTACAAGAACATGCCCACTTGCACGAGACAACACAATGCTCTTTGACGTATGGCCATTGCTGTTGTCAGCTTACAGAAATAAAGAAAATGGTATTTGTAGCAAAAAAAAATCTATTAAATCTAAAGTTGGAACAAGAGTAGATCACACATGTTTAAAAATGCATAAGTGCACAGCACTTCTGGATAAGCTGTATGGAGATCAGGGCAAAACGGGTCAGAACTGCACTTTTCACATTTAAATTTGACAGCCTTTTAATTTTTGAGACGGTACCTCCAAGTTGTTTGGGTTTTTAGAACTGCACCACTGTGCGTTATTGCAACATTGCGTTGGTACGGTGCCCGTTGTACCTGATTGTCACGAAGCAACGTTTGAAGGGTATGGGCCTGGGCAAAAGTCTGGCTGTTATTGTTCACATCCTCTGCTTGCGTGACATACGGTTCTTTCTCGCAACTCCGATTTGGTAATTGAATGCACTGCCATTCACTGCGTTATTTTGGTGTGCATGGCAAAACATTTGCAAATCTAACACGTAAAATGCTCAGATTTGTTCACACTTTGTTTCGAATGTTATCCGTGTATTGGGGAAGTAATATTCAGATCCTTTGAATGGTTGCCGCCAGTACTGCATTAACTATATTTCATCAAAAAAATCATTTTATGGGTCTGAAACTGAAGAAAAAAATCAGATTTTTATAATGTTAATGTTTTTGAATACAGTTAAATGTACCAGCTTCTGCAAATTTAGACAGGATGTTTACAGATGAGACACCAACCTTAACACTTGAGTTAAACAAAATGGGCCTAAATGTTGAATTTCACATTAAATAACAGGCACGTCCCTTTTTTAAAGCAGGTGACTGATAGAATATTTTAAATGTAATACAGTGCCATACATGCTTAAACAGGAGCTGCTGTCGTGGATTGAGCCAATTTCTCTTTAAACACCGCAAGTATAAATTGTTGCGGTATTAATTTATAACGGGTTGTTTGCTGTTCTGGCGGAATTACACGTTTTGGGTTATTTTAGATATGTGCAGGCATATTTTCTCCTTGAGTGGTAACAAAGATGTTCCACAATGGAATTTATGCTTTGTGATATTCGTGGCCACACTGATTTTTTTCCAGCAGAAATTGATTATTTAAGTATGTTGCCTGATACAAAAAAAAATGTTTTTCAAACAGCTTAATTCTACAATGGCTTCACATATCAAAAAAAAGTGTGAAAATGTACAGCTCCCTTTTTTTTGTCCCCCCCGTAAAAAAATATATAATTCTTATCCATAGGTACGGTTGGTTCAAGTAGATTATGGGGGGAGCCGACAAAAAGAGAACGCAGTGTGAATGTGATGGGTACACGCTTAAACTACTCTGTCGCAGCACATATTTGAGAACAAAGTGTTTTGCCTGGACATGCGTATCTCGCCACCACTGTATAAAAATAAAGGCAAGTCGGCTTGGCTTTTCATTACAGTGCATCGATGGGGGTATTGCAGCTCGGTGTGAATTTTCAGTAGCGCGTTGGAAGGTTTATGCATCTCTCTGCAATGGTCAGGGGGTTCCCTCCCACTGAGCAATTGGATGGCGAGTGGAGAGAGGAGGAGGGGGGGGGAGGTTGAATTTTTTTGTATATCCATGCGGTTCTTTAACAGGGCCCTCGTGTGTGTGTGGTTTTTTTCCCCACTTCCACCCAAAACAAATTCCCCGTCGTGCTTTGCAGTAGTTTTTTTTTGCGCAGCGCAAGCTCGAGGTGCGAGACCGTCGCAAGATAAAAAGTGACTTTGGTTTCAAAGTCTCTCTCGTGCACTGTACTGATGTGCGATGATTTATGCAGCATTTTGGATGCTGAACGTACAGGATAGGGGGGGGGGGAATCTTTCTCTGGATTCCGCCTTGGTGCTATTTGCTTAGTTACCGTTTTATTTCTCAGCTTTTTTTTTTTACAAAAATATATTTGTTGCGTTTTAGTAGTGCAAGACTTACAGGTGCCTCGCCGTCAGTTCATTTAAATAAAACACTTTTTGACAATGGTGGTTGTGAAGACTACGCAAAATGGCTGACTGCCATGTATTAGTGATGGGCTTTTTTGTGAAGGCTTCACCCCCCAAAAAAAACACGCCCAGTGGCATTTAAAACTTTTTTATTAGTTGCTGCTTTTTGATGAGCGACGTTTATTTTGGATAGTTACATTCATCGGCTTCGTGTGCTTACTTTCGCGGACTTGGTTGCGTGATATTTTCTTCCAGTGGACGGGCGAGTAAAAAAAACATTTTTTTTTTTTAGAGCGCAGTGCTGTATTTTTTGGTGTTTTATTTTCACACTTCACTCGGATCAAAGGGATGGCATTCCTCGAGTGCAGTGAATTAAGTAGAGCCGCGTCATTTTTGTTTTCTGCTTAATTATACAATCCGCTGTCACTGCGAGCGGTGTGAGTTTATGGTATACATATTTTTTTTGCCCGTAATGATCCCATCCTTTTAAATCTCTGTACACGTTCACCACGTGTGCGCCCCCCGCGTTATAAAGAAAAGCGTTGCCACAGCCTCCCTTTTTTTGTTATTGTTGTTGTACACCGTCGTGTGAAAGAATGTTCAGCTGCTTCGCGTTGCAACCACCGTGTTCCCCGTTGGTGGTGGTGGCGGCTGCTGCGCTGGTTCGGAATGAATCGATAGCGATTGGCTTTCAGAACGTATAAACGGGGGGGGGGGGGCACAGAGAGAGGGGGGCCAACTGCGTGGCAATAGTGGCATAAGCAGAGAGCCCACGCGCTCTCCTCCACACGTGCCTCCTCGTCGGGTTTACTGTAACACCACCACCACAGTTAGAGTGTGCGCACACGTACACTCACACGTAACACACTGGTGCATACATTGGAACTTTACAGCTCTGTGGGGCCACGTCGGCTTCCGTAGCAGGATTTTGATGCTAGGGGGAGGATGATGAGTTGGGTTTGGGTGGCTTTGTGCGCTTGGGCAGTTGTGTGCCTTCGTGTGTGTATATATATATTTTGTGGTAAGGGGAAACAAAAAAACAAATATAAACACCAAACTTTCCGGTCAATTGTAGTTGGTGGTCAGTCTCGGCTAACGATTAAGTTCTTGTGAATGTGAAAACGATGCGATGGGGGGGGTGGGTGGTGGGGGAGTGTTCGTGAATAATTTATAACATTAACATTTTGTGGATCGACGTTGTTTATGATGAAGAACCCGTGGTGGCTACTCGACGCCCATAATTCCCGCATTTTCTACATCCGTTTTCCCTTCTTTGCCGGGATTTCTCAACGAAACTTTATACCAAACGTTTTGGCTGTTAGACGAACATCCTTTGCTTTTGCTGTGTCGCTCCCAAACCATCTTCCTCTCCCCGTACCAAACGAATTACCTCGGCCTGCAGCGTCCCAACACGAACTGCTGACTCATCAGCGGGTCCTTTACATTCGGAACGTGGCAAGGTCTACGCGGGGTGTTTTATTTTTCTTCCCCGAATGTCACAGATGTTGTATGGAAAGTAGAGCACTCATTTGGGAAGAGGTCTGGCGATCAAACCATTGGCGCATCCCCATAACACATGGAGCATGACAGTCGAGAAGGGCCTTTGTTGGGGGAGGGTGGTAGGGTAGGGTTGGTGGGGGGGGGACGGTGGTGGTGGTGCTTGGGGTGGATGGGTGTGAGGTTGCAGTGGGGATTGGGGGGTGGATATCGTAGGGGTTGGGGTTAGGGCTGGGGGTGGTGTAGGGAGTTAGTGGCAGTGGCTCAGTCGGCCTGCGAGCCGCACAGCGATCAGATGGCGATTTCCATTGCGAGCCACGTGACCCCAAATTTAACCACCCCCCCCTCCACCACTCTAGTCAAATCATCAAGCATTTGCATTTTCCACTTATGCTATTATTGCTTCAGGCTTTTTAACCTTTGTAGAAAATTACCTATCCTTTCCAGAGCCTCCAAATGCTTGCTAAAGTTATTGAT